TAGAAACTATCAAATTTAGCTTGAATTCTGTTACAAATTAGATCAAATTTTCTTCTTATGGTTTACACTGATAATCCATAAAGTGAGCATGGATTTTGCAGACGAAGTAATACAGCAAGAACAGGTGCAACAGGAAACAACTATTACAGATGGAAAGATGATGAAAACGCCGAGTGATTTCAAGGATGCTTATTGGTTGGTTAATTTGCATGTTTAATTTTTGTTTTTTTGTGATGTATTAATATTTCACTTACTTATTTTTATATTCCAGGTACTATGATCCAAAAACTGATGGCTTCTATTATGACTCGAAAGGTTCCCGTGGTTGGCGTCGACGAAATCCTGCTCATGAAAAGAAGCAACTTCATAGAGTAGCTTTTGTTGTTAAAATCGTTATCTTTTTTCGAATGGTTTAAGCTTGACATCATAGAAACAGTGTTTGATGTAATTAATTTTAGAAATATTGTAAATACTGTTTTCTAGGATGCAGTATCCTGTTTGTGGGCTGATCCAAATCTTGCATCATATGGTGGAGGCGATCCATATGGATATCAATATAACAATCACTTTTCTCCTCATATTCAGTAGGCTCTTTTTTTGAATTTTCCATTATTAATAGCAAAATAAAACTGTAATGTAAAGGTAACGCACATAAGGTCTTTCCAGATATTATGATCCAGAAACTGACGGATACTATTTTGAAATGCCTTCCGTTGATGGCTGGAAGAAGCGGCAACCACATTCAATTAGCAGCACCGGTACGTCATCGCTAATAAGTTACAACAGCGGTCGAATGGTGACGGATTCAAATGCCCTTCCTGCAATATCTGCACAGTCAACAGTTGCCGATGCCGTAGATGTACCACGAACGTCTTACGGCGCTGCTTTAGCTCGAGGACAGTTACCACCATGCATTGTGAGAACTAATAATGCTATTACGAGTACTTCCAAAAATGTTAGTTTTCAAGTTCATTTCAAATTTCCTAATTCCTACTATATGTATTAAAATAAGGCTTCTTTGCAGATGAATGGAGTAATGAAAGACACTTTTTCGAATGCTGAGTTACCGTTTTCAACACTCTCATCGAACGATGATTTTAGCGCTGCATCTTCAGTATGTTTTTTTTTTTTTATATCCGTTCTGAAGATTCAGTGTCATTTTTATTCATATTTTTAGCCAAATTATGTTATTTTCAATGGATTACGAAATTTAATAATATTCGTATTTAATTAAGGAATCTCGCCCAACTAAGTTAAAGAAATGATTTGGGCGACCATACTAGTATTGGTTGACATGAATTGAAAATTTAACAAAATATAAAAGAAATATAGCGAAAGTATTTCTTTACAAAAAATTGATTCTAGCGCTTTTTGTCTTTTTTACATTATTATTGTAGATGTTATTTGACAAAACCTCAACAGAATGGGATAAAAAAGGAAACAGCCAAGGAAAGTGTAATACACAAAAGCCTTTCTCATATGCAGACATCGTGGCTTCATCATGTGATACAACTATAACAGCTAATGTTGATGATATTGAGAACAGCCCTCCTCCTCAACAGATCGTGGTTAGTTTTTTCTTCTTGATCTTTAGTTTAGCACTTATCATTTTTAGCAATTGCACATGGACTTAAGTTTGTACTATCATCTCAATGAACTTTTTATGGGTGAATTCAGCTCAATGAACTCGATATTTTTAAATTCTATATTAAAATTAATATAGATAATTTTATAGGACAGTCCCTATAAACGACCGGAAACATTGGAATTACATAGTTTTGCGGGAGAGAACGATGTTGCTTCATTAACAAATGAAAAGGACATAAAACGAACTGGGCTGACTAATTTTAATGCAGATAAATTCATCGCTGACCTTCCGTTCAAGTAAATTTTGTTATTTAGACTTAAGGAATAGACAATCGTTTTAAAATATATATATCAAAAGGCAAAACCATATAAATAATTTCAGTAGCACTGATCGAATATTGAGAGATTTAGCAGCACTGAAAACACCATGTTCAGCACCAGTTTACAGTATGGATTCTCCTCACACACCATCATCTGTCATGAAAGGGTTGTATTCACCGTTAGGAATTCCAAACCAGGACATCGATGCTTACAATGCTTTGTTAGCTTTTTTCATTTTTTAATTAAATTATTCAATATTGCTGTTTATATTTATTCGTCTTCCAGTTCCCTGTGTACTTCAATTTTTTGAATTTTAGACGTAGTTTTATTTGATTTGTTTGTACTAAAACTTGCATTTCATTTTAGCTGCGATATGGAATTAGTGTTGAGTCAGATTTTAAGTTGTGCTGACGAGAAGGAATGGGTACCAGAGAGAGCCTCAGCAGGGACATCGAAATTAAATTTTTGGCGTAATTCTGGTCTGGTTGCTGGAGTCGCTGGTGTTTCCTGTGACAATGTGTGAGGAACTAAAAGAATTTAAGTCAATCGCATCAGCTTTCATGTTTCAGAGTTCAATTGCCAATAGTTTTTATAAGTTCATAAAAGTTTAATAACTTCTAGTTTTATTCGCTTAAAATTAAGTTCGAATTTTTTCAAAAGCATTTTTTTCTTTTTTTTTTTTTTTTTATAGGTGTGAAATTTCATTGTTTAATTAATTGAGTATTCCGTCTGTTCTTTTTTTTTTTTTTTTTTTTTTTTTTGTTTTCTGCACAAATATTCTGTTTAGGTCCTTTTGAAATAATTACAAGTTGTCATCGTTATATTTGTTCACTTTATGTGAATATTTTTAGGGAAATTAGGCGACACATTTTTTCATTTTCGCTTTGTTCTCTGCTTTTTCTCTCGTTCAGAGTTCTGTTCTTGTATTTTCAGCTGAATTTCTTTGGCTGTATTTTTACATACGTTATTAAGTTTAAGTGTAATTTTTTTCTAAGGCTTTATGTTTCATTTTTGAACTGTTATCTGCAGTGAGAATGTTGAGTTTAGGTTTTTCCGGAAAGAATTTTATGTTTATCTTCGCTAGGTTTAATTAGGTTATGCTTTTTTCTCACTTTCAAGTGTACAACATCTTTCCACAATTCTGATTATCTCTGTTCCTTAATCCACTTCTACCTGTCATACCACTTATAATCAAATTCTTCACTTTTCTGTTATGCTGTATATCTTCTTAGTTCGTCAGTATTGGCGTCATTAGGCTTTTCTGTTGATTTTATGTCTCAATGTAGATCCATTTCTCTCTCTTTCTCTTTAATATGTTACGAAATATTGATATTATGAAGAGATTGTGCGCAATTAGAACAGAAGTAACCTTCAAAGAAGGGTTCTTCTTTTAGGAATAATAATTAAGTCATTTGTCTTTTGAAGGCACTTAATAGAATATTTCGAGTACTGCAGTTCATGTATATTTATTTTCACTTCTTTCCATTTCCTTTTCATACGTTTCTGATTTTGTAAAACTTTTTTCGAAATCAGTTATAATCTCTATTCTTCTTCAGCATCATTTTATTTCCATTCTGGCATTAAATATAAAACATTCCACCCTTTCTGATCTAGCACCTTGGCAAATAATTGTGGATTCCTTTAAGAGTAGATCTAATTTCTACATTTTTTTTTTTTTTTTTTTTGAAAAATGAAAAGAATTTTAATGCAAGAGTTTACGTCTTTAAATGGATCTCTTCACAGTGTGATTCTGGAATCTTACTTTACTGGAATTTTATTCTTGAATTATTTTTGATATTCCTAAAGTTTGTTTTTAATTAATCTCTTTGTCTTCGCTTAGTGATCCCATTACTTTCTGCATTGATCATTTTATCAATTTCATCAAAATAGTTGCTGTTAAAGGCAAATTTGTCTTCTCAGAATGTTTACTGTTCGCTTTGTTCTGAGTATTATCTCTTTAAAGGAATTATCAAAAATAAGTAATCTGAGATATAATTCGAAATCTAATAACAAAAAACTATTAAATTCGAGGTTCTTGCAAAATTTCCAACGTTTCAAAATCCACGTGTTTTTCAGAATGTGTTCGATTTATCCATTGTAGTATTTTCACTTCTAGCAACAAAATCATAACTGTTTCAAAATTTTTTCCTCCTTCATTATTCAAATTGTTTGAAAGATTCTCTTCTGTCTATCAAAAAAGCTTGCGCACTAGGATATGAAAAAGGCATAAAAGATCATTTATTATCTGTTCTTTTACATAAGATTTCAATGGTCAGTTGAAGCCACTCTCAAATGGTTTCGAAATTTATAAAAAGACGTTTTGAATAATACTGCGTATATGTCTGAGTCGAATTTACTTTTGATCTGAACTGAAATTATTGTGAAGTGCTCGATGGTCAGTAAGTAGATATTTCAAGGTCGGGGTTTTCTTATTTAGAAAATTAAAAATCTATGGAGGCCTGAAAAGGAGTCGATGAAAGGGAAGTGTAATGTTTATACAGTTAGTAACATGTTGTTGAAATCAGGAACTTCATATTATGTTCCAGGACGTAATTCATTGTTGCATTACGACACATGATACATTTCATTACATTTACTGATAACTGATAGACTGCATTTTGGTTTTGGTACCGAAGAAATTTATATTCCGCAGAAAATGATCGAAGGTTGCTACCTCTGACCCCACTACATTGTGCCATCGCATAATAATCATTGACCATCATTTATAAGTTCCTTCGCTTTCTTTACGGTGATCCCAGGTTTTCTCTCTAAGTTAGTTCTTCAAAAAAAAAGAACACTATTCCAAGGGAATTGTTCTGTGATTTCGATTCTATATAAATTACAAACATTTATTCAAGTTTGTCCTTAATGAGAAATTAATTATTCAAATTTTGTAAAATAGAGAAGAGTGTAATGCTGTCTGATTTATTTCTCAGACCGCAGTTGATGCCAACCTTATGTTACCTGAAATTGCTGAGCTGGTGCTATGGATAGCTGACACCGCTGTACTAATATTCATAAAAATGATTGTAGAAATATACTGGATTGTATGATAAGATGATGATACGGAATCAATAAAATAATTATAGAGAATGACAGGCGACATTTCATCGGCTCCACCACCATACACTCCTACGTCAGGTAATGAAACGAAATCAGCAATGTTCCCGACATCGCAACCGGATTCAGTGCAATTGCTGTATCAACCACAACATTCGTTACCACCGTGTTTGCAAAAATGCACCTTTTCATCCTCGTTGACACAAGCGCCAGCAGAACCAATCATCATGCCAGTTGTGGTGACACAACGTGATATTTTTCTCTGCTAAATTAAAAAGTCTCTCTTTCAAGAATTACTTCCTTAAAATAACATGCAAGAAGCATGTATTAGTTTAGTCTTTTCCCTCTTCTAATTAGTTTCATTAATTTTTTAGCAAATGTAGCACCATATCCCTACCAACAACAAATGTCGGATAAGCCAGTAAACGTTGTTGTTAATGCTAATAGTAGAACTGAAGAAAACAGTTTAGGAAGAGATTACAGGATATGTAATTTCTGCAAACGTGGAATTATGAAAAAGAAGAAGTACGTCTCACTTTCGCTTTATTTAATTTGATGTTTTATTTGGCTATACTTATTGGTACCTTTGTATGTCTGGAATTTTTGTCCCTGAGCAAGTTTTGCGAAAATTTTTTTTGTACATTTATTATATATGTAAATTCTTCATTCTTTTGTCAGTGTTCTGCTTGTGATTATTTTTATTTTACAGGGACTGGCTGAGGGTTACAGCAATTTTACTTGTGAGTATACTCTTCCCACCGCTTTCATTTTTATGTTGTTTTTTCCTATGCACTCGTGTGATTTACTTTGGCGAATGTTCCGCTTGTCATCGTATTTCAAAAAAAGAACATAGGTAAGTACTTTCAATATTTTCATCTGTAAAAAAGTCTAAATTTCAAAAAAAAAAAAACACTTAAGTAGACCATCAATCCTACTGATTGTTCCACTTATTTTCGAAGTTGAGTTTTGCTTTTGACAATTCAGTTTAGTCACCATTCCTTTTTTTTCCTAAATCCATTTGACCTAGATTTCAATTCTTTGAGACACAGTCATGACAGTATTAAACATCAATCAGGTTACGCCGCAGTTTCGTAAATTTTTCATTCCCTCCAAATTTCCTTTGTGCAGAAGGCAACGTGGTTGTTGCCGTTGATAAATTCTGGAATTGTGCAATACAAAAACCACTTGCAGGGCATTTTGAACTGCTCGAGGAAAACAATTACCCAACATCAGGAAACTATCAAATTTCTTTCTGTATTTACATCAAAAGGTTCATTCATGTGAGTTAGAAATGTTGCAATAGTTCACTTTCACTAAGTTTTAAATTTGCATATATCTGTCGTTAGTGTTTTGTAACCTATCTAGATAAAAATTTTCTATTTTCTTCGGAAAACCTGACAAGATAAAATATTAATTTAGAAGAGTTCCAAGATTTCCTATCTACCTGAGTTAAGCTAGAAAAAAACATCCAAGAAATTTTTTTCTGCACCAATTGGGAGAAATGTGAAAAATTTAACAGATGGCAATGATTGGCATGGAACAATCTTGGCAAAAATTTTAATGATTCATTCAAAAGTAATTGAATATTCCATACTGGTGATATCAAACAGTCTGAAACCGAGGAGATTTTCGAGTATTACTGGTCTAAAATCCAATGAAGCTAATGAATGCAATATTTAACTTTTCCAGCTATATCTTCCGTGAAAAACTGGTGCCTTTACATGTCTCCTACTCATGCAGTCCTAAAATTCCTCATTCCAAAAACAATGAAATTGAAAGTAAAGTCAGCTCCCTATATTCCTACACAGTCATGCCATAATGAAATGTTTCCAACAGAACATTTAAATGCACAAGAAATATATATCAATTTGTTTTGAAACGTTTAGTGTCAGTTTCGTGTTGCGAATCCGTCGATGATACTCCCAAAACTGGTATAGTTCCAGGAAAACTTAGAGGGCCACTAGAAGACTCTGCAGTACTCCGATGAGCAGGAATTAGAGGGACACTTGATGGTGATGTAAAAGCAGTCTGTTGGCTAATTCCCGATGTTGGATCTTCCGTTGCCGTCAAATTCTGATTGTTTACAGACGAACTCTGTACAGATTTCTCAACTACACCACTAGTGTCGTTTTCTACAGATATTTCATTTCCACCAAAATTAAACTGCTAAAAATATTTAGCGTAATGGCGTGAAGTTATATTCGATATTTTAAAAATACTAAATTTTGATCTTAATTTATGTTTCCCAAATTCCCAGAAACTTCAGTCTATTCTGAAGCTGGAAATATTTCGGAAAATCAATAATGTAAAGACTTCACAAAGATACATACAACGTCGTCAGGAGGTGGAAATTTAGCAAAAAGTTCCCGCAATATCTGATCCGTCCGAGTTCGTTGATAAAAAGTACTTCGGGCAAGCTGTGGCTTTTCTTCCTCTTCTGTTGCCTGAAATAATCATTTGAAATAAGAAATTTTAAAGAGTTAAGCAAAAAGAATAAATCTTTGGCATTTTAACTTACTTTTTTAACAGTTTCACCATCCGAATCTTTGAATTCCCAATAATATCCTTTAGCAATATTGAATCTGAAAACATCCCGAAATATAATCTATAAAAATAGCGAAAATACCTGAAAATCAGAAATCGGGAAAATTGCTGCTACGAAATAGATAAGAATACCTATTAAAATTCCGAGCTTGTTCAAGAGCTTGTCGAAGTGGATCAACAATACTAATCAATTTTGATTGAATATATGTATAAATATCCGGACATTGATACACTGTTCCATTTACTATGTAGTAATAGGCCAGAGGTGTAACTTAAAGAATTACTGTGTACTTATTACAATATATTTTTTGTTAACAATTTATTGTACATTTGAGGAAGCTGTACATGCATAATTTTATGGAATACAGGGTAAATCAATGCGTGATTACCATTTGTAGGACTATTCCGACGCTGTTTCATTATAACATACAATGGAGGGAAAGTGCCAACAACCGTATATTGGATACCTTGCATAGACCTGAAGAATACACTAAAATTCAATTTCTTTACTGACCAATTTGTGTTCAAATCTAATAATTGGTCATTTAAAGAAAATCAGTAGCCAGGATCATCACAGTTTACGCCGTTTTAAACAAAAGTTTGTAAAACCAGCAATCGAGTCTCATCGTTCAAGTTTGTCCAGGCTTTTTGGTAGTTTTTCAGGCTTTGACATTTAGGATTATCAACAAATAATATTCAACAACGCTTTCCTGAATTATTGGTCGTTTTAAAACACCGAGTTCATAAAAGTTCTATTTTTAAAATAGCTCCCTAGCGAGTTTTTTTGTTGGTGCAGCTTCTTTTGCGCCAATATATGCCATGAATACTCTGGCGCACACTTAAAGAAATAAGGATTTGGTACATGATTCTTCCTTACCAAGCCAGAAAAATGAAATGGGGTTAGAAAGCAAGCTGAGCTAAAAATAAAACGTACTGTAGGCATTCGTGCAAAGGTCGATTAAGATTTTGCATTCTGATATGCTGATTGCACGAAGAAACATCGTAAAAAACATTTCCTGGATCGCAAAAATAATCCAAAACGTTATCGGGAGTTATGAAATTTGGAGGCCAGTTCGGATTTTTGAATGACTGATGAAGCAAGGAAACAATCTGTTGATATGAAGAACCAGACTGGGAAACGACATTTGGTACACCCATGTAGGAACCTGTTAATAAAATTATTCTTGTTGTGATATGACGCTGATATTAAACAGAACTTTAATGAAATTGAGTCATGTGAAAAGCAAGATGTAAACTCCCATTTCTTGGTTACTAAAAATAACTATCATAATCGGGAAATTATGTTCGTTGAGATTTAATCTCTTATAATTTATGAATAACAAAAAGGCTATACCTGTTAAAAATCATCAGACAGTAGGAAACTCAGCTTTTACTCCTTAAAATGGTTATTGGAAGTTCTATTTTTCAGATGATTTCCTAGCAATGTGTACCAAATCAGATAAAAATAAATACTGATCTAATTCATAAGTAACTCCATTAATATTTGCAGAAAGCATTAAAATTGAATTCATAGTCTTTTAAAGTTTATAATGCTAGACGGTCCGAACAAAATTTCAGCAGTACATTCACAAACAGTTAAATTCAGATTACACAGCACTCACCACAATGTTCCACTCTGAGGAATACTCGATTTTGTAAAAAGTGCAATGAGATAATGAAATCTATGCCTATTTGATCTCAATTAAAAAATCCTTTTATTATGAATTATTGCAGCTGGGGGAAAAATCTTTGGATCAATATTAAAAAAAAAAAAGAAAACGACCGAGAATTAGTCAGTAAAACAAAAATGAAGCAGTAACAAGTATGATATACCTTGTGTCTGTCCCATCATGACTGACCGACTCGGTCCACCAGCCTGCATCATTCTTCTCTCTCCTGCAACATTACCACCGCAAATTACAGAAACAAAATATACCTCATTTTGTCCTTCCACTGAATGCATGAGCTTATATAAGTACAGTACCCAATAATATGGCATAAATAAATAGCGAACCCGACAACAAAAAGTTTATTTAAATAATTATCATCACAATTACGTAAAACAAATGAAGCTTCAAACTTCGTTTATCTGTTAGATACGTCACTCCTTGGCTTCATTACTGTAGCATTTTCCAACGTTAATTAATTACAAATAATCCTAAATTTGATATCTTTCACATTATTAAATTGTTCTTTTGCTCAATATTCCAACAATTTTAGTGTTTCGGAAAATCAGATACAAGGAAATGATGAGGCAAATGAAATCAAAAATCACTTGTTACATTGCAGACGATTGATTTCTGATGATTGAAATTTTTTAGTAGCATGTAGTCAAAATTCCGCACTAAATTGAAGTAAATCTCAGTTTTCTTTAATTCTGGTACAACTGATTTTGTAGTGACAACAATCCAGTATCATCCAGTTAAACAGTATAATCAAAATTCAAGTAATCACATGGCTCGATTGTCTCATCTTTCCCAAGCAACAAATCCCAGTGTAAATGTGAACTATGCGATATTCCCGGAGGTCCACGGTTTATCTGAGACGCTGTTTTCAATTCTCTAAAAAAGAATGATGCACTTTTGAAGGAATTTTCAACAAACAGTAACGCACATTGAAACTTTAGGAATAAATTCTGAACTAATTTTCATCTCCAAGTAGAAAAATTAGGGGTGAAACAATAATTTTAATTTCTCTTTCAAAAATATGGGTACACTCCTCAATAAAATCAAAAATTGTTTGAGACAATTATCCTTCGTGTTTTGTAGGTCACTAGATGATATACGTCAACTTAACTACCGCGATGCTTATCAAATTACTCTCCAGCTATATTCTACAGATGTCGATAACGGTATCATATGAATGAAGATATGCGTATCACTTACTTCAAAAAATGTTCAGCATATGCATTTCCACCAATTGTACGACATTCATCGATAACATTTGCAACAGTTCTACGCATTCGAGAATGCTTGCTTAACAATTCATGATCGTTCTGATTTGTCACCAAATCTGTAAAATAATATATATAATTTATTTTTCACGAAAACATCAAACAAACAAACACCTTTTGACACTTAAAAAATTGAGATTTTCCAGAACTAACGTTTGGGTGCTTCCAGATCCTTTTTATACACGGCTGCAGATCGATTCAGTGATTTCGTATCGTCAAGTGGAATCAAATGTGACATTTGTTTTGAACTATCAAGCAAAAGTAGATCTGGTTGAACTTTTGATAAAGAATCTGCTGACATCTCCCTTAACCTGAAAAAGTTGACTTCACTTATATGTTTTTTGAGTAATAAATATTTTACTTATTGCTCAGCAAAAATTTTTTTACACTATGAAATGATTAGTATATGGAAAGACACACCTTCAAAAAAAAGAAAACGCGAACAAGCCACTAGTGAGAATTAAAAAATTGTAAAGTATACAAAAAATTAGAAAAGTAAACAGTGAATACTAAAATGCATTTTTACAGCAGAAGTAATCTGAATGATATATTCACTATGAACTCCTTAAATACTATTACAATAATCAAACAACCAGCTGACCAGGTAAAAACTAACCTATACATGCCACAACAAAGCAATGAATAATCGCTAAACATTACGTACAGCAAGAAATCTTATGAGAGCAAGAAAAAATTCTTTATAGAAACAAAGTTATTTGTAAATCAGCCATAAATAAGTAAAACAATATTGCACTGATCTTCTGCAGAAGGCAGAGAAGTCAAACAAGTTAGTAAGGAAACGTAAATATGAAACCATGTGAGAGAAAAACTGAAATAATGAAGAAAACACGCTGTCCAATTAAACGTTTTCATGATGAACACGATAATGAGATTTTTTGAAGCTAAATGGATTAAATCCTATCGTTCAACTACGGATATTTATTCCAACATGTACTCAAAAGATTGGCCATGTTAAAAGCTGAAACAAACAAAACAGAGACGCCCGTTTTCACTGCAACCAGGCGGCGAGATCTAGATTTTCATAGCTAATAATGATGCCAAGGGGCGATTGGTTGATTATGAAAATGATGGTCCAATCCATGAAGTCGTTAAAATATAGGACGTTTGTTTGTTCTCGTATGTTTCGTTTCAGTAGAAGGAACTGGCCTTGTTGTTGTCTGGTTCTGTAGTATTGCTAGCGACTATAAAATTTCTCGAGCAAAGATCATTACGAATCAAAGTTGGAAATCTCGATTTCGTTATTCAGCAACAGAGCTTACTTCTCATAGTTGAACGAAACTGTTTCAGTAATCACAAGTAGTACTTTTTGATCAATGCATTTTGAAATCTATTCAGTGTATTTCTCATTTTTGCATAATACATTGGAAAATCAGTGCTTGGAAATGTGTAGTGCTTGGCTAGCCGAAAAGAGACTCGACTGGATGTTGTTTGATTCAACCCAATCATCTTCATTTTTTATAATTCCTCAAATCAAAAAGCAAGAAGTATTTTAATCTGAAATGGAACCAAACTATATTACAATTATTAAGTGAAAGCAACAGTGTGAACTTCAAAATAAATTCAAGCTGATATGATGCCATGTATGTTTCCTACTTGTAGATCAAATTTAAATTACTGCATCGTAATCCATGTAGCGGAGAAATGATCTTTCATCATAAACGTAAGATATCGAACTATGGATCACAGCAGCCCAGCACCCTTGGAAAACAATATATAACATATATAGTAGTATGTTTCAAATTTGTTTTCAATTGAGATGTGTCTGTAATTCATCGTCCCAGTCGTACGGTTCATCCATTTTCACACCGTAATTTTTCATTGTTAGTTGTAGCATTTGTGTTAAAAACTTGTGATCCGGCTGACTATGATATGTCAAGGAATCAATGTAATTCAGAATACGTCGAAATTCAACCTATAACTGTATCTTGCTGTTACTTTTCTCCATTTTTAATAACATAATTCCCGAGGATTTTAAGTGTTTTTTCTTTAATTTTGAAGTCTAAGAAAAAATATAAATATATTAAACATCTACTTTTCATCGCTGAACTAGTCACAGTTATTGGAAGCGTAGATAAATGACTAGCAAACAAGAAAAGGAAAAGAAGTGAATGAGCTTGAAAAAAAAGATAAACGAAGGTGTTGTGAAAATAAAAAAAATGATTAATTTTCGTTAAATTTTTAGTTAAATTTTCAGCAACGAAAATTTCAAGAAAAGTAACCTTTGGGCAGTCTTTGAGGAGTGTTTTAAGTGCATCGGATGATCGACACTGCTCCTTTTTACGCTCAATTTGTTTACGATCTGTTCGATGAATATTACCCCATGGAAGTTCTCCTGAAATACTGTAGTTTAACGGAGCAAATCTTCAATCTCTAGTTTGGAACAAAACTTATGTCCAGGAAAGAGTCATTGCGAGTTCTGTACTTATTGTACTAATGGTTATACCAGAAAGCATTTCGATAAGCATATAGAACCACGACTCGAGATCGTCTTTCGGCGATATTTCCTCCTCTCGATGTGCTGCCAGTGATGCGTAACGTGCAGTCCCTCTGTAATCTTTCCAAGTTTTTAAAAATTACTGTTTTCAGTTAAGCAAAATAAGGGTAACTTTAATCAGTAAAAGAGTTTCTCTTAAGTTAAGTACTTTTCTGCCGGTATTTTAGTGAATTATAAAATAACTTTCAAAATTCAAAAAATCATATTGCTACAAAGAGACCTAAATGAAGTTTTATTCCTAGGTGGTTTAATTCCATCCTTGAGATTTCGATACATTCGACAGAGTCCGAAATCAATTAAATACACATTCATTTTTGATTCAGCAGGATCGCTTATTGCAAAATTTGATGCCTACAATTTTTGAAATTAACTTGCCTTTGCTCCAAATGATTTCAGTTTTTTTGTTTAAAATTGTCCAGTATGTTATCTTAAATCCACCTCATAATTTCTTCTAGAAATTAAGTGATGAAGCTTTTGTTTGAGAAACGTAAAAATACCTTCAACTTCCCTCAATGAAAATGCAATATATTTATTGAAATTTTAAATTCTAAGGAGTCATGCTATGCAGCAGTAACTTTTGTAATTGAAGATGATAAACAAATAAAAGATAAAGATGAACTTTAACATCCCTGTGGACAAATCCCATTGAATGCAATTCTTCCAAAGCAGCTAGTGTCTGAATTCCAAGTCGAAGTGAAGTTGATAACGAAAAGTGACATTCAACAAATGCATGTCTCAGTTTATGCAGATTGTCACCAAGCTAAAAGGTAGATTTAAAAAGAGTATTGCTATGCAGCAATGAATGTGTTAATATGGCTCACAATTCACCTTTGCGGTTATTTCTTCAAAAAAAAAGACGAAAATTAGAGAATACTAGTTTAAAATCGACTAAATTTACTTAATTATTTCATACAAATCGAGTGTTTGTGGGTTTCATCTCACCCAAACAATAGATATTGAATAAACATAACGTCATTAGCAAGTGACCATTTTCATAACGATGAATTTGAAATGCCCCTCGATTTTACCCTGATCGATTAGACTTGCAATATGTTCACATGAGACTTTTGTAGCTTGTGACAATACAATGTAATCCATATTTAAGCCATGAGAATGTGTGTCACATATTTCTAACTTTACTGCAAAACGTCTTCCATCTGTACGCCTTAGTACCTATAACATGTGTTTATTTGATATATTTTCATGGAATTTTCATAAAATTAGTAACTAATTCATGATTTTGAGACTTTGAAAACTCAGTGATTGAAATAAACATTATAAATTATAAAACTCTGTCATTATTCACCTCGTATACAGCACCAAATCGTCCATGGGAAATTAATCGGCCAATGGCGAATTCAAAATTTCTCCCTTTAATTAGAACATTTTTGTTAGGTAATCGATTTGTAATAAAATTCTGGTCCTTATCACAACTTCCTTCACGTGAATTATCATTCATCGAATCCATCCTACAATAACTGTTATAGCAAATTAGTGAAAGCAGGTATTGCGAGAATGGCCTTAAAAACCTGTACAAAAAAAAAAACATCAGAAAATACCGTAAAGGCCTAGTAAATAACTTCAGAATGACAACGATTTCAGAATTTAGATTAAAAGTTTAACATAGATGTCAGTCTAAAATGTTTTTTTAATGCCTGATATTGCTAAAAAAATTACTAACAAAACAAATCATATTTTCTTGAAAACGAAATTATTCTTTTGGAAACTTATTCTTCTTATAAACTGCCTTCAGCGCCTGCTTGTGAAACTAACAGAACTTCAAAAAAAAAATAAGACACAAAATTTTGGAAAATATTTCCTAAAATTTGTCATGCAGAGACAAATAGCCAAATTAAAAGTTAAAATGGCTCGAAATGACTGGATACCATGCAAATAAATTATGCTTCGATTTCCATGACCTATACATATCTGTAAAAGTTAATGTGTAATTCATCTTTTTTCTTTAAAAATTCTCTTTATACTTGTATACATTTTTTACTTGTACACATTTAAACTTGTACACATTTAAACTTGTACACATTTAAACTTGTACACATTTAAATTTGTATACATTTAAACTTGTATCATTTATACTTGTATACATTTAAAATATACATTTTCAAATAATTATCATTCTGAAAGTTCAAATATAATTCCTTTTTTCCTGCTAAATTAAAAAAGAAAGAAGCATATTGGTATTATCTCTCTATTTGTAATGACTCATTCTATATACTTCTGCGATTTCTGAGTCATTTACTCCACTTTCTTTTCCAGTTAGATTTAATGATTTGATCATAAGATAACAAAAGAAATCACTTCCGCACAAAGAAAAAGTATATGATAAGGGGAATAATCCAATCGATCGATCATCAACTCATTTCTCTCACCCATCCATCAACTTTTTGATATTTATTTGCCCAATCGATTGTGCGATATTTCGTATAAGCTATTTAAATTAAAAACTAGTTTACTTCTTACTACTCATCATTGATACTGCTAATGAAACTGTCAAAAACTGCTGATTCTCGATCATCGTAGAGATGAAATTTCGATCAAAATATAAGTGATAGAATGGCAAAGTTAAAAAGCACAAATTATACCACTACAATTGGCAAAATAAAAATTAAATGAATAGCATTGTAGCTACGATTTGGGACAACTACAAAAATTCTCGATAGATTGATGCTAATATCAACCATAATTTGTTCGCACATGATTGCTTTAGAAAATTTCACTGACAAATGAGTTAACACAACAATTTTTTCTATTTTAATTCGATGACAGCAATATTTTCGACCAAATATTTCGTTCCGTTTTCTGGCAAAGAAAGTGGAAAAACAAAAATAACCGGATTGAAATGAATAGGCAAGAAGTACGTGTGAGAAAGAGATCGCTTGAACTCAAGCAATAAATAAAACAACTATGAGACAGCTTAACAGCTATATCAAAGAATTCGCACAACTTGCTGCCTTTCTCCATTCCTCATGCCACTAACTTCTCTTCCTTGATACCACTTCCCGACTTTACCAAGGTGAAATTGCTAAAGTGGATCGAGAGAACAATTTATCCCTCTCTTGCTTATTTTCTCTAATAATTTACTCTATCTCATCCTCATACTGAGATAGGCTTTTTGGAAGTATTATTGTTGGATTTATTAAATTTGTGTGAATTATATATTGACAGTTATCATATGACACTTTGAGGATTATTCGCTGCTGATTACTTCCCAGGATTACTGTTAGGTAATATCTTCTGTGTTTTCGATTTTAATGAACCATAATTTTCAGTCTTGAAATATATACAAATCTCTTTGTCAACTATCAACTAATAAAAGATGAAATTTCACCAAATTTCGTTTTTTTTTTCTTTTTTTTTGTTGTAAAGAAATGGAAAGAATGAGAGTTCTCACTTTGGAGATGGCAAAATCAACAACAATTCTTCGATTGATAGGATTAAGAAATTTTGTCTTTTTTGAAGAAATTTAGGAAACTCTGCTTAATCTTTTGGAATTTCTGGGACGCTGCATTGATGTAAGGAGCAAATCAACAACTCTTCCTACACCATAAACAAAATCTCATAACTTCATTTAATAATTGCATACCATCTCAAACAATTTTATTAAAATTGAGACAAAATTAAATGCTGAAACAAATTTGCAACAAAGCATATTTAAAAACTATTTCGATTGATAGAATTAAGAAATTTTGTCTTTTTTGAAGAAATTTAGGAAACTCTGCTTAATCTTTTGGAATTTCTGGGACGCTGCATTGATGTAAGGAGCAAATCTTGATGGTTTTGATAACAAGGAATTTGTCTGAATCTGTTTACATCCACGATTACCATAATTGGATAACTAAATAAGTCTTATTGAATTATAATTATACAGATTTGAAACATTTGACTAATTGTTAGATAGAAGAAACAAATTTTGATAACATTTTTAGTTTTATATTTTTTAAATGTTCGTGTCAACGATGACTATACTTTTGATGATTCCATTTCGAGAGCATCAAGAAGTGTAATATGATGATTTAATCCAAACTATGAGTTTATTTAGGAATTGTACGAGAAAATGTTTTTTTTTTTTTTTTCGAAAAGTCTAAATGTTTCAAAAGCTAGAGTTAAAAGATCTAAATGAAAAGTAAGTTTTCTTCGAAGAATGATCCATGAAATGGAGAACTAACATCAACATCGAAGTAATGCCGATGATCATTGACATAGGCATTGTAATTCTTGAAGTCATATGTTAAACTATTGCTACAACGGAAGTCTTCACTTTTCGGATAACCTAAGCATTCGTAGAACATCGCATCTTTAGCCATTCCGTATGGGTACCTACAGGTATTGTAGAATTTAAAAACCTTTAAAAAAACTCAATTTTTCAATAATTTTGAAAAAAAGTACCAGATTTCAATTCCATGATGGTATGGCGAGCCAATCTTTCCAGTTAAACAAGGTTTACTTTTGCCGTTTTTTTTATCCCGATAGTTTGCATCTTTCTCACACGGTGGTAAATGTGGTACTAAATCTAAGTGATGGACGATCCGAAAGCTAAAACATTGCTTTTATTAAAGTAACATCATTTGCACATTTTGAAATAGCTATTTTTACAAAACGATGTAAAGGGATGAAAACTAGTAAGTATCACTGCAAGCATTATTGTATATGTATATCATTAACTACTTCTCTTAGTTTTCTCAAGCGAAATCATTTCAATCTTCACAGATTTCTTATTAATTCAAAACTAGACTAGAAATAACCTTCATTCTAAATTTGGAACTTTGAATCACATCATTTACCAATTTCATCCTAACTATCGTTTATTTATAAATCTATTCTAAGCTCAAAAAATTTTCACCTGAACGAGATATGAGCGTTGTGATACACTGCAAATTGATAGTCGCCAGTTCGTGGTTCACCAAATGTAATAAGTTTAATTTTATTGCCAGTTCGTAATCTTTGGATTACAGTACGAGTTGCTGCCAATGATGCTATTGCTCCTCCTGCATTAAACTATCTTATTTTGCTCTTTTTATTAAAAATTTGAATGCTAAATTTACTGAGTTACTTCTCACTAGTTATTTTGTGTGCATCGACAATTTTACAAATTTCTATCGTAATAGTAAGGGACCTTGATAAACTGTCATTCGTCTATCTTGATGAATAATAATTTGAGGTTTTTACTTATATCAAGATCATCTGTTGATAACCTTCAGATTATTTCAACTCGATCAGTATAGTATAAATTCATTTAATGGATGAATTGAGCATTTGCTATTGCCGCGCATTTTACAAAATGTAAACTTACCTAGAGAATGACCAGTGAATTTAACTTCATATGACTTGAACAGAGGATTCATGAGAACTGGCTCTATATTTGGCCAGGTTTTGTCAAGTGCTTGTAAGAAATATCGATTGACCTTAGGTAATTGTTTATTACGAAAAATTTAGTAGAAATTGGACTTATTAAAATTAGCTGAAACTCATCTCGATATCTCATTAAAAGTTATAAAATTAAGATTTTTAAAAAGAAACTAATATAATGACACTGCAATCAAAGTTCAAAATTATTATATTTTGGATTTAAAATTGCGAAAGTTCGCTAGAATTGCAATTTTCTTTAACCAGTTGTGAGTAAAAAATGTTAAAAAAGTCATTTAAGTTTTAAAAAACTAAATTCTAGGAGGAAACTACCATCCCAATATTAAAGAAATTTTTTTTGGATCTCATCGACTGCCATCCTTCGACAATTAATTGCTTAGTTGTCGTCGTACCTCGAAACACAATTATTATTTCTTTCATAACATCCGATCTTATTATATACAGTGAACAGAAATTCTGGAATGCATCGCATATCATGCTCTCTGTATTGGATATCAACCATTTCTGCCATTTGGGTAATGTGCTGTAGCAAATTTTTAAATCACACCTTTATAAGCCACCAAAGATTTGAAATTGATTATAAATGAGCTATTCGATAACGATAACGTTTCCATTTCTTGTAAAACTTATATTTTTAAACATCAATTTTAATTAAAAATAAACCAGTAGTATTTTTAATACTACTGGTTTATACATATGTAAACAAAAACAAAATGATGCTTAATAAATAAGCCAAACGTCTTCTTACTATTATCACTAGTAAAATTACGATATCATTCAAAAAATGTTTAACGTTTTAAGAAAACAGTTAATTTTCACAGCCCAGTTGACTCATGAGATTTATTTCATCTCTTGTCATATCATATCACAACCACATTTCCTCCAAACGAAAGAAATCTCAGGAATGATTTTCCGAATAAATTTATGAAATCACTAAGAAAAATAATTCCTTTTCCACACAATGCTTTAAGTTAACGAAACTTACTTGTTGACACATTTCTCCGGATCAGTGGAATAAGCACCAGCAGTAAGATTGAGCAGAATCTTAGCCTCTGTTTCATTATATCGAGAAACAAGTGGTACTAGAGCATAAACTGCTCGGCTGTATACTATCAAAAAATATGTCACTATAAGTCTAGTAATCATACTATTCCAAGCCAGTAATTCATGCACATGAATGCCTGGAAGTATCAGAAAAGGACTGGTTTGCTGCTTATTACCACAATCAGTAATTTCTCGTTAACCACTACATTCTCAGATGACCGACAATATAATTGTAATTGTATTAAGTGAAGATCAGCTTCTGTCATCTTATTCATCATTACTTAAATTTCATTCAAATAAAGGAATTCTAATACTAATATGATAAATGTGTGCCACTGCAAAATGTAAAAATTACATTCTTCTTTAACTCTCACACTTTTAGTGATACAAATTTAATTAGAATGGCGCATTAGTGAGGTGGGAACAAATTAACTTGCTTCATACAAACGTAGCAATTATGGATTCGAAAAGAGAAAATAATGAATGAGTTGCTGTGGAAAAGGAAATACCATTAAAATTTATTTTTTTTATTTTAGGGAGAACAGGTTCTCTTTTCGAGGATGCCAATAGAATACAGATTATTATCTGTCTGGTAATCATTCCAAGACTTACTAAATGTGCATGGGTCAATTTCTCAGTAAAAAACTTGGTTATGATTCAAAAAAAAAAAAAAAAATAAAAAACAGTACTTTGCTCAACTCAAAATACAATTACCATATTTTGCAAATCACATGTAGGAAAAGTAATGAACAATGCTTAATAGTGGGCTATAAAATTTTGCAATTTGAAGCACTATGCTAACATGTTGGGAATTGTCATTCTAAATGCAATGGCATGTGACAATGTGACAAGTATTCAATTTTTAACAATATAGATTATCGCTCGACAATTTCCGAATAACAATTGAAAATGAAAGGAATAGAAGCAAAAGAATATTTGGTCAGTCACATGAATTCACTTCTGTTTGATAGGAATAAATTAAAAAGATGAATATTACATGAAAAGCATACGGAAGTTAGTTTTTTCCTTCCATTGTTTGTACTTTTTTATTTTAGGAAATTTAAATAATCAGCTTTTTTTTAATATGAATCACAAAATTTTCAGTTTTTCTTAACAAAATTCCAATGAAAGATCGCAAAGCAAAAGTAGAAGGAAATATAAAAGCTAAAATATTTTACTTCACAAAAAGAACAGATGGAAATGTAAGTTGGCAATGAAATTGGTAAGTACAAAGTTGTTTTCTACTAAAATGAAAATTTTTTAAATTCACCTTACTAGTTCATATTTCACTTGTAAAATTTAAAATTACAAATATTTTCCATTTGAATGTACTTGAATCTATTTTCTACTTTCAGGAAGATTGAGAAAAGGACAATAAAATGTAAAATAAAGTAACACGTTAATCGTAAAATGCCACACGCAAAAACTTCTGACTTTTAGCTTCATCTTCTAACGCAGTAAATAATTGGAGCATTCTGGTTGACTTGGCCATTATATAAAACAGTAATTGCTTTCTTCTGCTTCAAATTTCTGTTGATTTATTCGCATTTGAGGAAGAATTTTGAAATTGACATTTAGTTAGAAAAAAAGCACAGTCATCACACTTTTGATATTATTTGCAAAAGTAAGAACCTTGCTCAAATTATCAACTATATAGTAGCACCATAATCATCAATTGCAAATATAATCTGAAAAGCAATAATTAATTCATGATTACGTTCAAAGATAACTGCTATGAGATTCTTCCTGATAAACACTACAATTCTAAACCAACTATATTGTATATAATTTAGAATTTGTCAGCATTATTATGTCAGGTATCTGTCAATTCATACAAAAAAAAAATTAGTGTCACATCACGAAGTAGTCCATTCTTTCTGTATGCAAAAATTTGCTTCTTAAATTGCTAAAAGAAGTTTTTAAAAAAATTTAAGTCTACTTCATATTATTCACTTTAAATTTGAAAAAAAACCTCATATTATTTAAAAATTTAAGAAAAAAATTAAGTGAAATAGGTAATTGCCTGTTATACTTAATATGAATCATCTATCACTTATTCGTATTACAAATGAACGTCACTTCACAGCTTACTTCACCCTTTCATTTGTCATGGGACACCATCAACTAGGTTTTCAAATGAAATTCGATAGCAAAAGATTTTTCTTTGCAACTTACAGTAGCTCAAAATTTGGCATTTGCTTTTTTTTCAATGATGATTTTGAAATGCAGTTCATCACACATTTTAAATCATCGTCCAAATTTTCATTTCAAATTTCAATTCAAGATGAGTTTTTAAATAAAAAGAATGGTATAATATAGAAGGAATGGAGGAGAAAAAACTTTGAATAATTTTTTTTAATAATTTTTAATAACCGTATTTTAATAATACTGAAGTGGAAATAATCTCTTGCTCTTCCTTCTGTTCTACTCATCAACTAATCTTTCCGTCTAAAACATTCATTATTTGTTTTCAATCTTACTGTTTAATGACTCGGTTTGCTCAGAGATATGTTTGATCCTATCATCTACCTGCCTTTAAGCTTTATCACTCTCCACTATACTTGCACGCTCTTCCTATCAATATATTCATCATATCATCATTAATTCTTCACTGGGATTACTTTTACATTCTCTATGTCTACTTCTACTTCCTCTGTATAACTCATTTTTTCTAATGATCCACTAAATAACAGATCTTAAAAAGAAACACAAGAAATAATTAAAGATATTGTGTCACTTGGACATGGATATTTCATTAAGATGCCGCATAAAAAGAATTTTCATTTTTTTTACAGAAAGATTGTTCTTATGGATTGTGTTCCTGAATTTTAGAAGTATCGATTGCGAGTTAGGGATGCCTTTATCATGTTACGTTTGTCCGGTCAGTTTTTGTATTCATAATGTTATTTGAAGGGGTAAAATGGAATTGGAAATTTACTGCCGTAGAATTTCTCTTTGAACTGAATTTCGCATATTAATCTTCAAATGTTTGTAAAAACAAAGAGAACCTAAAGACATTATTATCTTCATTTTAAACTTGTCTATTTTTGTAGTGAAGTTATTGATAAATTATCTTTCGTTTACTTGTTTCGTTAAAATTCTACTAATGATTTTATGTTTGGAACGTTGGTTAAATACAAGCACCACTGATTAGAAGACCATCGATCTGGCTGTCAAAACATAAATAATCTTATGATTTTTTAAACTTCAAATACTAATCTGTTACAAATACCATAAGTGTTACAAATACTATAATCTGTTACAAATACCATAAGAGTTGTTGGTATTTGCAGTAACGGAATAATTTAAGGTAATCCAGTAAGATTGGACGATTTATAAAAATTTGTTAGTGATTCAGTTAGGATTATTCTTGTGCTTTTAAAGAACAGTTTCTGTTTATGCTTTATTTATACTAGGAATATGCGTAAGGAATGTGAAGAATATAAAGCTTCTAACCTTTTCGTTTTATATCGAAGCTTAGGAATTAAGATGGATTTATTTTCCATCCTTAGCTTCAGGACAGTTTAATATTCGCGATCCATCCCACTGTTGAATCTATCTCATTTGAGCTTTTTTTTCTTTTTTTAAAGTTATCACTTTGACCTCATTATTCGGACACTTATACAAGCAAAAAATTTCTATAGAAACTTATTTCAAAGGATAAAATATTTACCACTGTGACATTTGCTAATAACTGCACGTTATTTGTGCATTTTTTCGGGCGAAACTTGTGTTTATGCATTATTTATACCAGAATGCACTTCTTTCCTTCTTTATTTAATTTTTGAATTAAATTTGTAATATTTCTTTTTTAAAACTTGTATTATCTAACATATGTCTAAAATTTTGTCCAGTTTATTACTTTTACAGTACTTTTAGTGTTGGAAATAATAGTTTATACGGAACACAACTACTGGATATTAGTGAGGCGCTGGTGTTGCGGGCTGGAGAAAGAATAGAACATTTTTGGAGCAAGGAACGATGAATTACGCTTATCGTCTTTTGGACAATGTTAAATACTTTTATAAAACACTCAATCCAGCTTCACTTTCTGGTATGTTTCACTGTTGTCTTTGTATTTTTTTTTGGAGATAACTCAAATGTAGAATAAGATAGCTGTTCTTCAGTAGTTTCTTTAGAAGTACGAGCAGATGCAAAACAGGCGCTTCTATAATAGAATAATTATACGTTTATTATTTTTTGCGAAAGGAACTCTTAAAATTTTTAAAGCGTTTGATCTTTGCAACCAGAAACTTATTTACTGTTCTTATTTTTAAAAATTTGTCTCTAAAAATACATGCTTGTTGGGTTTACTTAGTTTTTATAAAAAAAAAAAAAATAATAATAATTTTCGTTAGCTTTTAGCTTTTTTGTTTTTTAAGAGGATTTATGATTTTCACTTTGGATGAATTTTTGCTTTGAATTTTTCAAATATTTCAAGGGGCAATTGATTTGATTGTTGTGGAGCAGCCGGATGGATCATATTTATCAACACCATTTCATGTAAGGTTCGGAAAATATGGCGTTTTAAATAGCGACGAAAAAGTTAGTTCGTTCTTTAATCTTTATGAATCTTTATTTATATTCCTATTTTAAATATTTATTTAAGCACAATCTTCGTTTTTTATTTTATATGCTGCTGTATTTGTTTCTCGAGAGGTCAAAGAGTAAGAAAAGTTTGGCAATTTGTTCAATGGAATTTGTTTCAGTATGTGGATATAACAATAAATGGGAAAGAAATAGATTTAAAAATGAAATTGGGTGAAAATGGTGTCGCATTTTTTGCCGAACTGACTACGGATGCTGATATTCCTGAATATCTGGTGACGAGCCCAGTCCCAGGAAGTAGCTATGCTCCAGTTGACGGGAAGGTATCACAGCAACGCTGTTATTGTTATATTTGTGCAAAATATATTTATATATTTGAGATTGAGATTTTATTTTAAGGATCTTGCTGATAGGATAGAAAAAATCCGACGAGAGCTGTCGCGTTCAAGATATAAAAGAGCACTTTCAGAATGTTCCAGTTCCCGTTCACATTCTTCGCATTCACGGTTTTATTTTTAAATTTTCTGTATATTCATATGTCGAGTCTCCTTAAG